TAGAAAAACTCCGATCGTATATAACTGGTTTTCAAAATTATTGATGAATTTATTTTTTATGTTTAATAACGTCATTTCTGTGGACTTTTTCTTCTGAAACAGATATTGCTGTTGCGGAATTAAGTTCTTCTTAGCTAGATAACAGACCAATTTGCCATTGATTACTTGTTCTAGGATTTTGGAAAACAATGGCATAGTGCCGATATGGGTCTTTAGTTATTCATAGCAATGACCCAACTTTATGCAGAACACACACTCTAGCGACCTTCATTTTATTAGGAAAGGTTTCTCGAGATAAAGAAATGTTGCAAATATGAGTCAGAGGCGCAGTAATGAGGCGAGACAGAGCTTCAATCGACGCCGGTTTTAGGTCATCATGACCTACCGAAATATTATTATTTAAGGCTTGTAACAAAATGATAATTTCTCCCTCAGCAATCGGTGAAAGAAAAATGCTATTTGTTTCTGCAAACGAAAGATAAGAACCAATATTAGTGTCCACGTTCAGATGAGGAGGCAAAGTAGGCATTCGTAGGACGAGCCACGGCTTCCAAAGTGTTTTCAAACATTTTATTTTAGCTTTTGGCATGCGAGCTACCTGCTCAGGACATTGCGCTCCTAGTTCGCAATGTCTAAAAAAAAAACAAAAAAACACGTTTGTATTGTTGGTTTTTATTTTTATTCTTTTTTCACCTCTTTCCACTTTTGCAGAGCAAACGAGCACCGTTCTCTTTGCTGAAGATGGAAGCGAATAGTGATCATGTCATTGTTATAAAAAAGCACACAAACGTCCATGGCCTGGATTTTCGAGCACCCATGGCCACCTGCAGAAAGTGTTGGTTAGGGTTTTACTGCGCATTCGTGCCTATCCCAAACAAAATTATAAAAAAAATAACTGCCTTTTTTGAATAAATAACTTTTGTGGCTAATACTGGTGGGAATTAAAACCGTCCAATGTCTGCTGCAGAAAAAAAAATCGGGTTTCTTGTCTTTTACGTAATATTAATAATGGAGGTCATCCTTGTCTAACATCAGAATAAAATGTACTATATTTCGCTAAAGTATTGTCATGACAGCGTCTATTTTTAAGTCTATTTTCCTGCACGAACTTCCAGGAGCCCTGGATCATCGAGAAAGCCTATTATTAAGATCACAATCTTAAAAAAAATACATCGAAGGTGCTTCAAGTTGAAATATTTGTGATTTGAGACCAGTACTTTGTTTTTGTTTTATGGAGGTCAATTAAAAATTTGGGACAGGTGTGTTCTCGAGAATATTTACTCAAATTGTTTTTCTTCGTTGTTAAAAAAAACACTATTTTTTACCTAATTTGGTTTATAGAACATTTATCAGACCAAAGCTGGACCATGCAGCCTCTATCTGGGATCTGGGTCACGATACCCTCGTCATGGCACTAGAGTCTATCCAAAATCGGTCAGCTAGTTTCACCCTATCAAACTATCATCGCGTTGCTAGTGTCACATCGATGAAAATTAAGTTAACTTTACCATCTCTCTTTCTGCGCCGTAAAATTTCACGTTTATGTTTATCTCGCAAAATTTACTCTCAAAATCCCGTCTTACACGATCAAACGACAGCTCTCCCCCTTTACATTTCGTCCCGTGTTGATCATCAGCATAAAGGTGGAGTCCCCAAGCTCATTAACAACTGCATCTCACTCGTCACTTGTTCCTCGCACAGCACAATAATGAAACACCACCTCCCCGGTTTAATTGCTACCCTCACTGACCCTAATTTATTTGGAAATGCTATCACTAACAGTTTTTTCCAATGATTAACGAACTGTTTGATTGTTTGTGATATTATTACTATCGCTAATTTGTCAGAGTTTTTCTTCCCATCTTATTGTGCTGCTCTCCCAGGCTGCCTTCGTGTCCTGGGGGCATGCTCCATAAATAAAGAAATAAATTAGGCCCTCGTCATTCACGCGTAAACAAGAATCGTACAAGCACTTTCATTCGAAGCTTCTAGCCGCCTCAGCGTACCAGCACTGCGACGTCTAGCAGCCGACTTTTCTACGCGCTGGGTTAGCAACCGTGACATCACACAGCAGGCGAGTACGCTTTGGTTTCTAGGTATCAGTCCAGAGCCCCAGAACATCTAAATCGATGGCTCAACAAAATCACTATATAAAGTAACGGTCATTCAAATACTTTCACGCCCGCAACCCCTCCACGCAGACTGGATTTCCTGACAACTCACGATTATGTTGCGTCTGATAGGCGCCCTAAATTTGCTCCAAATTTGTCTATTTGTCGGTGTCATGCACGGGCTACAGCGTAACGAAGACGCCAAAAAGCCAGATGTATGTATTTGTAACTGCGCGATCGATCGAACGTCGACAATCACGATTGCTTTGTTGTAGGTAAGGGAATCTTTAGAGGCGTACAAAACAACCCATTGTGTCACATTCGGTTCTTACTTTCTATTTTTTTTTTTTTTTTTTGCTTTTGACATAGTGAGATACAAAAAAAGAAGTATACTCTTGAGTGGCATTTCCATGATTTGCAATCAGCTGTTTCTTTAATTGGCAGTTTTGGGTTATGTGATAACTTCCCTACACACACGACTGACTGACATTGCGTAAATGTGCGCCAGGTGTCGCTCTCGTAACTAAAGGTTAGAACTCCGTTCCTCCGTAGCCCACAATCGTCGCTGCGTTTTATTTGGTCACCAACCGAATCCAAGATTCGAGCTATGTATATGGATGGCGCTGCACTTTGCGTCCCCAGATTCCAAATGCCTCGTGTTGGCGCTCGCGGCGATATGTCGTCGCGCGGGAAGCAAGCTGCAACGAGGCGAAGAGGGATGAGTGCTTCCCTACCTGGGCGGGGAGGAGACCTTCCGAGCGGAAGGAAGCTTTTCCCCCCGCCGCCCGAAGAACTGAACAGCACGGGCAACTCTTGTTCCGAGGATCCTTTGTGGTCCTGAAAAGGTGGGCCATTGTCGCCAACTTGGAAAGCTGTCGCGGGGCTCGCTTGCTTCCTGTCCGGGACAAAGCGCACCTGGGTGCGGGGGGGGAAGAGGCCCCTCCCGCGACCCCCCGGCGACGGGGGGCTCGTTGTCGAGCCGCACCTTTTGTCCGCCTCCCGTGTTTTTCGGACGAAAGGACCGCTTTCCATGGGGCCAGCCCTCTCTTTGGAAGCTAGGCGAGCCCTCCGAAATAGGTAGGCAAGAGCTACCCCGCTCGACAACGATGCACGCCGCAAGGTGCGACAGCCCGCGGGGGCTAGCGGAGTCCGCGAGCACACATGCTGTGCAGCCACAGAAAACACCGGAGGAAGGACAAAGGAGATGCGTTTCTGGGCTCCACGGAGCAGGTGTCACCGATCCGCTCTTCGAGACGTATTCGCGCCTTGAGTTAGTATTTGAAGTTCGTGGTAATGGAAAGTGTCACCGGCTAACAGAAATCTGCCTCGAAAATAAATAACACGCGGGCCGTCTGAATGGGAGCCCCGAACTTCGTCACGTATACAGAGGCGCACGTCCTTGTGAAACCCGTGGTGCATGCCGAGGGACCAACAGAATCCGCTCGTTAAAGTTTTGACACGCCGGTTGCCGTGTCGCGGAAAACAAAATTTTAGCATGTTCGATGAATTCGCCGTTGACCCGGAGGTCTCGTGTGAGTAATATCTCACGATTCGAATTTTGTTTTTGTAATGGGTAGACGGCGCAACCCCATGAGGAAAATGCCTGTCCAACTCAGAAGAGGTGCAAGCGACACTTTGCGGGACTATAGTGCACATAAGTGGAGATTCAATTAATGGGGCGAGCACTGAACAGTCAATAATATAGCGCTACTAGACGATAAGAAAGCCTAATAACGAATCACAAAGGGACAAGCATGATCAGAATGGGCCATGCCCTTTAAACTCTCAGTGACAATTATGTACCGTTACCGATGTCAGCGCGTGGGAAGCGGGAGAAATAAATAAAATCTGCGACCCCCAGGCTAGCGGTTGTACTGCACTGGCTAAATTGCTCATTTACAGCGAGTGACTCGTCGCAACATTGAAATGGCTGACCAACTATACGCTGTCTAAATATCCACGCAAACCCGAATTATTATTAGAAATCTGCGACGACGGGAGGCTATTTTTTCTTAGCACGACAGCAAGGTAGACCAATGATTTATTCATTAACCACGCATAGCAAGCATATTCGGCGCGCGATAATGGAGAAATGCTCTGAATGAGTAATCAATAAGCTGCTAAAATCTGCAATCTTGATGGTGTGGAATGCACGTGGCGAAAGAAATGTGAAAGTTCGCCGTCAGCACGCGCTCAGAACACTATAGCACGGTGACTGCGTTCGCTTGGATACGCAATACTAAAACTCATTATAGGAGGTATTCACTGGACGCCATATTTGAGGGCGATGTTTAGAGCGCATGCTCAAAACGAGCTCAGAGTAATAGCCTGCTAAGACAGGCAACCTTGATGATGCACGCTCCAAACGGACTGCGGAAGCTCGCCGTCAGCACGCGCTCAGCAGCAGCGCACATGGATATGGCCGCCAGTGAATACTCCCTATTGAGTCATCGTCTACGTAGGCTTCTCTTCGCATTTTGTTGCCACGTGCACCGATTTCGGTCGCGTTCTTAATACAATCACCACACAACGTACGCTGAATAACACCTCCCGCATTCAGAATAAGGTTGATATGATGACTCGGCAAATGAACTCGCGATCTCGACTCTGCGCGTGCTCATCGGCGGGAGCAGGTTTGCAGATTCTTTGAAAGAGTTAGTGATGAGGGGCCTTTGAACTGCCCGTAAAAAGAGGGGTACCTTACTCGGCTCCTAATTAGTACAAGCCTAATTGATGTAATGACCATAAAGCAACAGTAATAACTCGAGATCAGCGGGTTTTCAGAAAAAAAAAAGAAGTGCTTTGCACAAAACGTTTTTGGGGACTGGGAGCACGACTTGTGCCATGCACGCAGTTGCTGTACTCTTTCGGAACCACTGTGGGATGAGCTGGGAGATAGAAGGGCACTTTATTATCACTTTCTTCGGTACCGTATGTACAGTTAACAACAGTTAAAAACGGCAACAGGAGGATTGTCGAGTTGCAGCAACGTATCCCGTCTGCTGCGACGGAGGCCGCAGGGTCCGGGAGAGGCACTGTCCGAGAGCGCGAGGCTCCGCTATCACAGAGCAGCTGGCAGTCCAGAGAGATCAGCGACGAGGATCGTCGAGGCTGGCCATTGTCGTCAGTCGATGAGAGGGCAGGCCTACGGGGAGGGAAGGGACGAACGTAAACCACACGAAAGAGGAATAGCACGGTTGAAAGGATTAGCCTTTAGTTATAGTACATTTCGGGTTATTGGGGGGGGGGGGGGGGGGGGACGACCATGGAAGGGAGCGTTTGTAATTTAATGGCGGGACGCCTCCTGCGAAGATTGTTCGCATGTGCGCATGCGCTGCGTTGTCGCGTGGCCGGGAGGGAGCGGAAACGTTTGCAGACGACAGACGCTTGTTCCACCTCCTGGCTCCTCGTATTGCAAACGGGCAAGCACGTGTTGGAGACTCTGCAATGTAGCCTCTTAGCAAGGATGGATGAATGGATGAATCCGGCTGAGCCCTGTGGACCGGGCGGTAGCTTACGCCACCTAGCCATTTTGTTCTACCATTTAAGCTTAGAATATTTAAATGTGAAAACAAGGACATCCAACCGTCGCGCCCCTAGCGGCGAAGTTTGAAAACTACACCCATACGGACAACAACACGAAATGTTTCACAATTGTAGAACTACCAAAAATTGCAATAAAGACAGAAAAAAAAAAGGACGACAGGAAAAAAGATCCCAAGCACAACGTCACCGCAGTCACGGGTAATTCTGCAATGGGCGCGTCCGCGCTCCTTTACTCCTACTGACGCTCCGGGTTTCATACTCTAACTAAACGGCGCATGGCGTACAGGAACGCGACAGACCGAAACTGTCGACGAGCCGCATGAGCCACTTCCGACCGCACGCCTATGACAAACCCTGCTTCTAGTAGATACGGGTGGCAGAAGTCGAAATTATTTCGAAGATAAATTAATTACGGCCTCTGTGGAGCGGCAGAGTGTAAAGTAAAAGAGACGGTGACGTTGGGAACTTTCTACCAATGTCTCAATATTCCTGAAAAACTCGCTTCGAGCACATATGCAGAAAGTTACCTTGACCGATATATTTATTGACCATGCACGCTATTCAGATTGAAATGAAAGGCAACATTATTGAGCCCGCTTGTTGACGCAGGAAGCGAGGCGAGATGCGTGAACAAACCTTTTCCGTAAAGTTAGCTGATGTTACGGCTTTCCAATCAAAGTACTTTTATTCGTTGGGCTAAGCATTTTAAGGGCAGCGGTCCGACTTTCTTCTCATCTCTACAACTTTTCTGTCGCTGTGCTATCGGCACGCCCGTTCCCTAGATGAATTTGTTTTCAGGCCAGATGCACGAACAAACTGTTTCCCGAACGCTAATTTCTGTATTGTCTTTCAAATCAAATCGTTTCTACCTGCTGAATCGAGCACTATTCAACTAAAAAGGGGCAGTGGTCCGGCTGCGCCCTTCGTCTCGACAACAGCGCAGGCATCTTGTTTGTGGATGAGACGTCACGGAACGTGAAGTCACTCGCGCTCCGAGAAATACTCAATACACGAAGCAAACTCTCCCGCTCCGGAGCACGGACCTACACCAGCTCACTTACGCCCTCGTGTTTTGTTTGTTATTAAATATTTGTTTGTGCTTCTGACGAAGCGCTCGGCTGACGTAACTGAACTCTGCGTCAGCGTATTGTTGGGGCTCGTGTTTGATCAGTGAAGCACTGGTGGCCATAGTTGTGTGCGCGACTGCAGTGCTGAGCGCGTGCTGATCGCGAGCTTCCACAGTTCAAGATTGCCGGTCTTAACAGCTTATCAATGTGAGTTCGTTTCGAGCATCCGCTCTAGACATCGCCCTCAAATATGGCATAGAGCCCGCGGGCAGACGGGCACACAGCTATGGCTGCCAGTGAATACTCCCTATTGATAACGAGTCCCAGCCGAACGACGACGCAGCACGTGTCCTGTAAGCAGTACGCGGTCTAGTGAGGAAGACGGCGTAAAGAATCCTTGTGTTGGGTCCGAGATCTATGGAAATGGATGGATGGATGAATCCGGCTGAGCCCTTTGGATCGGGCGGTAGCTTACGCCACCTAGCCATTTTGTTTTACCATTTAAGCTTAGAATATTTAAATGTGAAAGCTATATTCACTCCGCACTGAAAATAAAGGGAGGGTATAAAACCCCCTTGCCATCAGTTAATAAGAAAATACCTAGTTTTCTCTCGATTCCTGCCACCATTCACTTAATCTTTGCTTGGTAATCTCTACAGTCTTGAAATCCACTCTCCCTTCGCTGTCTCTAAAACCCAATGACATTATTAAATCTATGTTGTTTTCGGTAGGCATAGGGTGAAGCCCTTTAGAAGTAGAGTATCAAGTGCTCAGCCGTCTCGTTCTCCTCTCTACAAGCAGTGCACATTGTATCCATCTCCTGGTACTTCGCTCTGTATACTCCCGTCCTCGCCTCAAACAACAATGAGCTTCCCCTAGAATTGTCATAAATGCTTTCTTTGGCAATAACTGTTTTGTTTAATCTATAGATTCCAGAGCCGTCTTTGTCTGCATTCCCTCTAGCCACCAATCTCTTTCTGTGGCCTTAACTTTCTTCTTAACTGAGACCTGCTCTTCCGTAACTCCACTATAGCCCAAAAACTTTCCCCTTAATTTCCTAGTGCGCTGTCTCCACTTTGTGTCTACACTGCTCATGTATAAATAGCTGAAAACCTTTCGTACCCATTGCTCCCCATCCATTTGCCTCAACCGATCCTGAAATCCTATCTTGCTCACCGCTTCCCTGCTCTCAAATGACGCCCATCCCATGTCTCCTTGTGCTCCCTGGTTTGGCGTTTTGCAATGAGCCCCCAAAGCCAGTCTAACTACTCCGCGCTGTTTTATTTCTAGTCTCGCATGCACTTCGGATTTCATGCATAGCACTGCGTTTCCAAAAGTCAAGCCAGGCACCAGGACCCCTTTCCAAATCAATCTCACCACCTCACACATGTTGCAATTCCAAAGTGCTCTATTTTTCATTACAGATGCATTTCTGTTGCCTTTACCTATTATATACTTTTCATGCTTACGCGGTCGTGACGTCATGCCGCTACGGTGGCGCCGTTGTCGCCACCGCGCACGCGCAGAATGTTCACTTCAGGCGACTATGGTTTCCGAGTTTCGATTATTTTACCCGTTTTTTTTTTTTTTTTTTTTTTTTTTGTTTCACCGTCGTGTTTAACTCACTTACACCTGCTCGCTTGTTCTTTAACCATTTTTCTTTTTTTATTCACTGTCTAACCGCTCATTCACACTGGAAGCGGATCCGCGTTTGCAACCGCGTTGTGAACGCGGATCCGCTTCCTGTGTAAATGAGCGGTAAGACCTTTCAAAAAAATAAAAAATAAAAGTGCACCTGGCCGGTTTTATTGCCAGTATTTCGTGCGTATGGCGCGTGATTTGCTCGCTTTCCGAAGCGACAAACATGCGCGTGCTGGGTTGAGGAGATCGCACGCGTGGCTGAGGACTTGTAAATACTGGAATGAAATGGTGTATAGCTCGTTCAATCCCGTCGCCTATAGACTGTCAATTAACAGAAAAACGCAAGAAAAACCCCTGTCCCGAAACCCCTCCGCTTGCCGATGAATGCTAACGGCTGTTCGTTTTGTAATGGGTGGTGGCCCGTTACAAAAGGACTAGAATGACGACAAGGACGCTTGCTTCCCGCCTTTGCGATGAACGAATACGCTGACACTATACGTAGCTGATTTGCCGCCACTGGAAGGGAGAAGCGGCAGGTTTAGTAGATCGTTCCGATGACGATATACTAAAGCTCTAGTGTCCGCTTCAATGTGTTATATCCTCAGTCGTGTCATGATCCTTCGGTTTCCCACATTAGGGATCCGAATGTAACGGAAAAGTACAAACAAACTTTCATGTGTGAGCGAAAATTGCTTCGAACTGAACGCGGGGCACAAGTTCGTCTGCTTCTTTTGCAGGCGCTGTTGGTGACGTCAGAACGCCGAGCTCTGATTGGCTCTGCTTGAAGGAAAGTGGGTAGACTTCAAGGCGGCTTGCTTTGATGTCTATCCACTATCCTTCAATCAGAGCCATCGCCGGCGGGAACACTAAGATTTGGCTGGAACGCTGGTACTTGCGGATGAGAATGGAAGAGCGGATTCTAAGGGCTTTACGATGGTATTTGGTACTGCGGATTAGAAGATTGATGGAAAAAGATTAGAGGATAGATTAGAAGATTGATGGAAAAAGATCTAGGGAAGTGTGAAATTGCGAACACAATTAAAGGGGTAGATGGTTTAATGGAGGCAAGAAGCTCGGAGCCAAATTTTAAAGGGTGGGGCTGAAAAGTTTTTATGCTCGTTCAACTGATCTTAAATTAACTAATTAGGGATTAGTTAATTGAAATTTAAAAAAAAACTGACTATACCCGGTTTCTCCTCAAGAAAAAAGCAAGTGTCGCGCATTGTTCATACGCGGCGCGAAGTAGGTCTTACGAGATTTGGTTGTCGGAGGAAAAAGCGATGCTTTTGGCGTTTGGAACGTGTACGTAATTAAAAATGCACCTACATATATCTCAATTATAAACATGAAGGGGGGAATTAGTAATGCTCCGCGAGGTGTTGTACTGTTTTTGCTAGTGTTCTTGAGGTGAAAACGGGTATAGGTGGCGCAAGCCAGCGCCCAATTAAAAAAGAGTTCAGCCGTATCCACCCTTCAGATCTAAACGGTACAGACACTAGCGTCCTTGATACAGAGCCAATTAATTCTAACCACTATTGCACAGCCCTCACCAAACGCTTTACTCACTTTAATGATTAGGCTGTGTGCATTTGTTCGTATGTCCGGTTACCCGAATGAAAAGTATGACGATCAAGTTCGAAATGAGGCGATCGAAACTTTGACAAAATCGACAATCGCACATCCCGACCGGAAGTATTCTTTGTGGGCAACGAATACCGGCAACTGTTTCCAAAGTCTTTGTCACCCCCCCCCCCCCCCTAAGGGGGGATCGGTGGCCGAGTGGTCTACCGCACACCAGCTCGGAGCACGTGGAGCTAAAGCTCGCGCTGCAGAACCCAGGGATCCTGGGTTCGAGCCCCACCCTGCCCGTTTCGATCTGGATGAGCATCGTACCGGCGTGCGGTCGTGTATCACTACTGCGTGATGCACGTTAAAGACCCCAGGCTAGCGGTTTTACCGCACTGGCTAAATTTCTCATCTACAGCTGGAAGACTCGTCGCCCCTGTGAGGCAGACCAAGTTCTAGGCTGTATAAACATACACACAACCCATTTTTTTTTTGTCACCCCCCTAAAAAAAGAAAGCACTTAAGATATGTTTTTACGATTTCCAACAAAGACCAGCGGTGGACGAGCGAGCAAGGGAGGCCTCAAACTGACTTCGCTCAATAACTAATTAAAACCATAGCAAAAAAAAAAAAAAAAGACGATGACACCGTGTTGTTCGTATTCGTGTTGCTCTTATCACGAGTTCTGCCAGACAGGAGTCGGATATTGACGTTGTAGCAAATTATCACCAACGCATCGTTTGTAAAGAAAAAAAAAGTAAAATAAAATAAAAAATCTGAGCACGTTTTAATTTGAAGATTTGCGCACGTCCCACTTCACAGCCAGGTCTATCCGCGTCTTGGTCCCGGTGCGCGTTCGCCGGTTTGGGTTATAAATTAACACAGAAGCTTGTTTGCCCAAAATACACTAAAAATTGCATTGTTTTTTTTTCGGAAATCGTAACACCTCCCCCCGGAACCCTAAAAACCCAGGTCCTCGTCAAAGGGACCATGAAATTATATCTCAACTTCTTCCTCAGCTTCAGTCCTCAACTCAAAAGCGAAATCACGTGGTTTAAGCACACCATGGACCTTGCCATTAGCAATTGATGATAAGAGCCGTCACGGTACCCATTGGTCACGAACGCGAATCCAAATAATCGCCGGATTGACTGTTGACGAGCACGTAGGTTCGAATGACGCGGTGGTCGAGTCTAATGCGGGAGCCGGAGCCGGCTGACGAGCTTTGGGAACACCGGGGATCTATCACAGTATGAAGGCGGAGAGAGCTTTCGAAGGAAAGGTATGAAATAGTTTGCCATATTTTCACATGTTCGCACGGAAAAGCAGTCTCGTGACCTTGTACCCTTCCTTTTGGTGCACTAAACAATAAGAGATCAGTAAAATCCTAATCTAAAATAATTTATACCAGCCGAAAAGTCATGTCATAACGTCTTTAACACAACACCCTTCATTAAAAAAAAAAAAAAAAAAAAAGAACGGCATGTTAAAAGCACGCGAGACAAGATTCCATTTCTTATTTGCTGACTCGCGCAGGATGAACTCCACGCAAAGAGCGGTTGCGAAGGCGAGTGACAACAGGATGTTGAGAACAAACACGTTCGCCCCATCGGCTGACAGCGCAGTGGAAGCTACGTGCTTTTCTGACCAGTAACACGCCAGAAGACCATGCTCCCACCCGTATCCAAGCACAACGCTTAGAAGAAGCTCGAGAAGAATGGGGTCAGGCAGGGCAGGTGTCTAGGCCCGACGAGCGCACCCACAACGCTGTCAGCTTAGAGGTCACAAAGAATCGGAACCACGAGGCCTTCGGCATGCGTGTGCTTACAGGCGAATGAACCAGGCTTTCGTCGGTGGGTGCTGACGTCCCATAGCACACTTTGACCACCATGTAGGAGGAGTAGAGGGAAGCTCCTTTTGTAAGAATTTGGAGTAGCGGGGTTATCTTCTATAATCTTCTTGGAGAAGAATAGCGACGTCTGTGCATATCCGGGAGGCACAAAGGAGGACCCTGATAAGAAAAGGAGCCCCTTCCTCTCCTCTAGTGGTCATCGGAGCGCTCTTTGAATGACGTCATGTGGAAGCCATGTATTACAACTATCGCGACGGCTTTCCGCCAAAACCGCGAGCTTTCTACCGTTGCTGCCTTTGATCGCACGCGAAGCCCAACACCTCAAAAGGGCAACGAGCGCGTACTGGAGTTGGCGTTGATAAGAATCATGCACTACGAATCATCGTGGTGATACCGCTGTGTACTGTTAGCGACACACCATCTGCCCCTTTGGGCAGTGGCGGAACCAAGAACTTTTTTTTTTCTTTGGGGGGGGGGGGGGGGGGGGGAGGGTGAAGCTTCACAAACTTTTCCCCTTTGTACGCCACTGTGTTTGGCGCTTTTCACCCAGCCTTACGCGGGCGCCACTTAGCGCGCGAAAGTGAATCGGCGAGATTGTAATGACCGCAATCTGGAAGGAGTCTAGCACTGTCGTTGTCCGGAAGGGCGACTGAATACGCGACCGCGCTGCTAAGCCTCCCCATGTACACGTGTGCATCCGACCGCGTGCTAACGTTTCCGCAAAAGTTACCTGTTAGGACACGCCACCTCCTGGCGTAAACACAGATAAGATGAAAAGGGAGAAAAAGCCGACTGAACCATTCTAACCAAACCGCATGGCGAAAAAAAAAAAAAAGAAAAGGCCCCTTTGTTTTACAGACGCTGAGGAAAATCAAAACACCCACCTACGAGGTAGCTCAGAAGATGACTGGAACAGTTCTTCGCTGGTCCTGGGTTGCCGCGGCGTAACCATTAGGCCCACAGCTGTACATGTAAGCGGCCGCAGCGGCAGCCGACGTCGGGTACGCCGCCATCGCCGAGGACCCCGCGGACATGAGTCCGCCGGCCTGTCCTGGACCAGCACCGTAGAGTCCGGCGTAGATGGACGCGTGTCCGAGTTCGGCGGTCTTGTACGTGGGCGCAGAGAACGGCTTCACATCGGCAGAGAAGGGCTTCACGTCGGCAGGGTAAGACACGTACGCCGATGGCGGCAGCGGGCTGCTGGACGACTGCGGCGAGGATGCGTTGCGCTTGTCTTCCTGGTACAGCGGCGGCGACGGCACGTTCATCATCATGTGCTGCTGGTGTTGCTGCAAGTAGGCCCTGCAGTGCTCTATTCCGCCCGGCATGTAGGCGGGCATCGCGAACGGGTACGGCGCGTCCGGCTTCTTCGGTGCCGGCGGCTTGGGCTTCCTCCTGGGCCTGTACTTATAGTCCGGGTGATCGCGCATGTGCTGCTCGCGGAGCCTCTTGGCTTCGTCAATGAACGGTCTCTTGGCGTCCTCACTCAGCTGCTTCCACTCCGCGCCGAGCCGCTTGGAGATCTCCGAGTTGTGCATCTTGGGGTGTTCCAGGGCGATCTTGCGGCGCTGGGCGCGGGACCACACCATGAAGGCGTTCATGGGGCGTTTGATGTGTTCGACGCCGGGCGTCCTGCCACCGCCCTGCTGCTGCTGGTTCATAGGATGGTGCTGTTGTTGCGATGGCAGGGCCATCGAGAGCGGCGGCCCCATGTGCTGCTGATGCTGCATGACACCGGCCGTCAGCAGACCGACGTTCATGACTGGACGAGAAGCAAGCGCACACTGGCTTCCTCCAAGGTCGCGGGAAAGAGCCTCTCCCCCAGGTGGATCTGTCCCATTGGGCGACGGGATGTCCCCCTCTCCGGGGACACAATGGGGACACGCTGCCATTGTCCGCCTTCCGCCAGAGGGGAGAGGGGGGGGGGGGCTGATGCAACCCTCGGGGGGTGCGCTTCAATGGGGGCCTTTCTGAGCGGGCCGTGTCTCCAGAATGGGCTCGTTTATCACGACTCCCGTTGTCGGGGGCCCTGTCTCGCTGTCACGGCCCGCAGTGTGGGCCGCGAGCGCTCGCTGTTCATCTGCGCATCTGCATTGAGTCGGTCAGAATGGCGCCTTTTGTGGCAGTACACAAGAGACGGCCGCGCTCGGGTCCCTTGCCAAGTGCGGCGCTTCGAGTGGCCAAACAGCGCCAGCAAGGCCGACCGCGACGCAAATCCCCCGAGTTTGAATTCGCTGCGTCATTCCGATAGCGCGGGGCCCTGCACGGCCGTCCGCCGCCGCCGAAATCTGCCTGTCAAGCAGGAGGGGGAAGAAAGCTGCCGCGGCGAACAAGGACACAAAGCACATTGCTCGGGCTTGTGGGCTGCTTTGTGCCTCGTGTGCCTTTGTCGTCGCGAATACCCGTGCATCGAAAGCGACAAAGAAAAGAGTCGGACGGTATCAAATTTAAACCGTGTTGTCCTTTTTTTGATCCTTTATCAACAACGTGCTCGTCTTCTCTTTGTCTGGCGCACAATCGCAGTAACGGAGGGGGCATGACTCGGACGCGGAAAGAATGGCCTCTTAACTAGACTGAGGTTATTCTTGCGTGCATCGATCGGGCACGCGAGGTGTGCGCCTTTCGCCCGCGGAAATGACAGCTGAAAAAACAGATGTCGCCGTCTCACCAGAAGCGATTGTCGAGGCAAGCCAATGTACCGCGCTGTGTCATTACCACCGTGGACACCACCAATACTCGTCACATAAAGAAAAACAAACAGCTTGGCGGATTATTTATGCGATGCACGAAGTAGTTATTTGAAGATTCGTTTATCGGAGGGCGATAACGATGCTTTTGACGCTTGATACGTGTAGATCTCGAGAAAATAACGGTAAGCTACTCTAAAATTCACAAGCATAAATCTCTAATTCACCACGTAGGGGAGTGAACAAGTAATGCTCCGCAAATAACCAAACTTTTTTTTTTTTATATAGTTTTGTTTTTGTTAGGTTAATGCGAGTGTAGAATAGTCAAAGCCCGCGCACTAGCATTTCGACGCCATCACAGTGAGGTCGAGCGCAGGCACGGATTGGTCACGAGTGCTGCGTCAGTTTTCGGCTCGACCTCGTGTCCCATCAGCGCGTCGAAGGATGCTCGGAGTGCGATGACATCATTTGGAGCTATATGCTGTTCACAGGCCTCGAATATTCAAGGTGGAATCGGGTGTGAGTACACCTAAATAAACACTCGCGTTCGAATGTCTGCCTTCTGTGCGCAGTAGCTCTCTTCCACGAAATGTGAAACGCCGCCCATGCATTCACAGTTCAGTGACTCGGCAGTTTTCACCTTGGCGATAAGTGCTGGAAAGGTATATGTATATATCCAGGCGGTCTATTTTGTGGATGCGTGTTCTGTAAACCAGGAAATACGGTAGAGAGTCAAACGAGAGAAATGATAACTACGCTCTTCGTTAACAGACCGTACAATAAATTTAGCGTCAAATTCGAAATAATTATCTTTTTTTTTTTTTAAGGCGCAAGCGGTTAAGTATTTAGGTTCAATTATGAAATAATAATTGTGTTGTACTTATGTTTATACAGCCGGAAGTTAGTCATCCTTAATGGGTGTTTGGTGTCTCAACTGTAGATGAGAAATGTAGCCAGTGCAGCAGAACCGCTAGTCCGTGGTCCTTATCATGCATCACACAATGGTGTTACACGACCGCGCTCCGGTACGATGCTCATCCATATCGAAACGGGGAGGGATGGGGATTGAGCCCAGGCTCTCTGGGTTCTGCAGTGCGAACTTTTGCTACACGTGCTCAGAGATGAGGTGCGCTAACCAACTCGGCCACCGTCCCTCACATAGCAGTTCATAAAAGCACCGTTGTTCGAATGATAGACATATAAACCAGAAGAATGTCTAGTACCTGGTATTATCATACAGGCACAGGACAAGGAACGATGTGAAAAGATGGACACACGCAGTACCGTCTCTAGGATACCTAAGTTGTTGGCTGTATGTCCACCCTTTTATTATCCGTTTGCACCTCTTTTTTTGTCTTTTTTTCGCCCAACTGTGCAATTTTTTTTTTTTTTCGTGTTTAAATAGGCACCGGGGACGACGTTTTACCAGCTTCGGTGCTTGCTGCGGCCTCCACCAATATCGCCGCTAATCACTCGAAGCTCCAAGTTAAGAACTACGCGAAATCTCGACCATGGAAACACCAAAAGAAACAGCGCAGGCTATCATATTTTTGTTAAGTCTTATTTGTACGTTTTATTCCTTTTACGTTTTGTTGACCTAAATGCACAGTTCTCGGTTACGTCTCCGATTTGCGTGCGGTGTGTGCCTCCCTGAAGTCCCGATTCAATGGCTTTCCCTGGTTACCCCTATGCCCGATCCTGCAAACGGCGTTGAGTTGCCAGTATCATCATCGTTAATCCGAATGACCCGAAACGCCCACATATGACCTTGAATAAGAAACCAAGCCCGCACGCACGCATACACACGCACAGACACACACGCACAAACGGGCTTGTCCTGCCCGAGGCGTCCGGGTTCAGCGGATTGAGCAGGGACGACCCCAATCCCCGGGAGGGAAGGACAATGGCCGTCCCCGAGCGACCGGCGGGGACCGCTTCCACCGGCTCGAGGTCTTCGACGCGCTTCTGGCAAGGCAGCGGGCCTAACTAGCCAAGCGCACAAAGGCACGAAGGAAAAACCTCAAAACAACGCCTTCGGGCGGCGTCCCGACAAACGAGCTGCGTGGGGCTGCTGCTGCTTGCCAAAACTGGCTCTGCTTCTCCGATGGCTTACTGCGGAGAAGAATTCGCACTCTTCCCGGAATCCTCATTGTGGAAGCCATGTTCTGCGGCTGCTGCGCTCGTCTTTTTTTAGGGACAAGGTTCCGGTTGCGCAAGATTCCTCCTCATTGACGGAAGTGTTACGCAAGAGGACTTATGTTTTGGGTCTTTCGAAAGGAGTTGGCACTCCGCCGATCACGGAAATGGCAGCGCTCGTTTTACGATAGAGAGTTGTAGTAGATTGTTTCAATGCCTATGATGACGGTGCCCGATAACGATACGATGGCGTCCACGAACTATCGGGTACCGTTATCGGAGGCATCGGAACGATCTGCCAAAAGTCTCTAACAATCGACAATATCCGACATCGCGACGTCGACGAAACGGTGGCACGCTTAGTGGGAACTGTTCGGTGTGCGGATACTTTCTGGGGGCACTCGAAGTTACTCGAGGTTTCCGGGATACGTGAAACACGTCAATCATATTTTGCTTTGTTTGTTTACCTAAGCAGTTTTTATGTGCACAGCAGTCGTTACTGCGACATTAGCGGTTTCGGCAACTAATTTACAACTTGGCTCCCGAGTTTGAGACGGCATCTCCCCATGTCTGCCATTTCATTTTTGCCCTCTCTCGGGTTCAAGTTCTGAAAACAGCGGTCCCTGTTACATTCCTCGGCATGCGGGCAGAAACTTGGGGAAAGCAGGAAACGAGAAATCGGCGGGGGCGTCAGAACACCGAGCTCTATAGACGCTTTCAGCGCGCGCCAAATTTAGCCGCCATAGCCGACCTTCTCTTGTCTTTGCGAGATGCCGAGCCAGTGAAGCGGGCGTTGATGGGTCTTCACAAAGGCCTTTGCTGGAGAGGAGGACACAGTAACACCTAAAATGGCAATGACCTGTCCTGCTGTGGTAATGATCAAGTGAAGCGAACGGAATAAGAGGGAATAAAAACTGAAGGTCAGTTATGGCGGCGCCCATGCACAGCGGCCTGAAAGCGTCTACATGATTAGTGGGCAGACGCAAGGCTACGCGGAGTGCAAGTTCGTCTGCTTCTAGCGCAGGAGTGGCGATGACGACAGAACGACGCCGAGCTCTGATTGGCTCTGATTGAAATGATAGGGGGTAGACCTCAATGCTAGAGGCCTAAATCTACCCACTATTTTTTTTCTTATTTTTTTTTTCGATCAGTTAATAAGAGTTTGTGCGTTCCGAACGTCATCGCAACCCCTGTGCAAGAGCTAGCAGAGGAACCTGCCCTCCGCATAGCTTGCATTGTCTCCAATCTTCTATTTTTTTTTTTTTTTTTTTTTACAGTGGTGTGATGCAGAAACGAATGTACATTATACAATAGTGCGTAAAAATGAGAATTCGCTCCCGGAGCCTTTCAGCATGGTTTTGGATGTATAGCATCCTAATTATCGCGTTATGTGTAATAGGAAGTACATGTTTGTTTTGTACAAACCACGTCAATCTTTTTTTCCCTACTATTTTGAATTTTTATAGAAAGTCTGTTTGATTAGAATTATTATTACCTTTGCGCACCAAAGAGAACTCCGATATGTTGTTTTAAGGTGCAGAAAATAAAGATTATTATTAAAGATAAGTACTTAGAAATTCCTGCGTAGAATCTAGCTTTCTTTGAAGCACTTACTATACCCGAACTCCTTTACCTTACTTGTTTGCCCACTTTTACAGACTAATCCCGTTTCTCATAATGAAACCTGTCAAAGGAGAAAAAAAAATGTGTGGCCCCAAGTTATTTTATTAAGTGGAGATTTTTTTTAATACACTTATGCCTTGTTAAGGTTAATACTTGATTTTTCCCTCAAAGAATCGTTCATAATGGCAGTCGCCCACAATCACAAAAAATAAAAAAAAATAAAATCGTGTATTTGTACGTCTGCATCATAGTACAAGGGGAGGGGGGGGAGGGGTGTCAAACTGGGAGTGCGTTTCTCGCATCCGGCATGAATACCGCGCACGCGCAGAAACAGCATTGGTCACCGCTGCGGCGTGTTTTTTCCCACTTAATCACTCTACTTTTTTT